TTTTTTGCATGTGCTAAGTACAAAGAAGTCAAAAGTTTTCTGCATAATACCTAGAAACATGTATGGAAGATTTTTTTTGACAGTATTGGACTTGGGGAAAAAAAATGTTGTGTAGCAGCACAGGACAATAATAATTAGTACCGATGATAATGTTTTCCATTTATCACATCGTGTGTCTGTTCAGTCATATCTGGTTTGAGTCTTGGATTGGATGAGACATAAGAAGAGACCTTACTCATCCTCTTGAAAAACCGTCTTTTACTTCTACAGCAGAAATCATCAGTTGTACTTTAAAGTCTCTGAAAGTTGGATTTATATTTCTTTTTTCTTTTAAATAGGCAGATATCTGATTATGAGCCCATTTAAAAAATATACAGTGCAAAGAGCAGACAGTGAAAGAAAAGTATCAAATATAGAGAGTTAAACATAACCTCAGCTACTGAGTCTTTGTTATCCATGGATGACAGCCTGGTTAATAAATGTTTTCTCACTGGGATTGTGGGCTAGAAGTTAATGGTGAAACACATCTACAACATACTCCAGATGCTCAAGACAACCAGACAGATCACAACCATAGCAGCATTGGCACACACAGAATGTACCTATACAGGTGTTGTGTTTGGCCGGCTTGGGTCTTCTCCTTCACTAGCCCAGGTGCAAACACAGTGAAAGCCAAGAAATTTGGGCAGGGAGAAGACTGGCTCATGGTTTGGGTATGTTGCTTGAAAATGGTGCTTACTACTGTCAGGGGTTTATATACAAAAAAGGGAAGAGAGGAAAGATGAAAGAGGAAAGATTTTGGCAGAGGCTGTAGTTCAGGCATGCAGAACAGATATCCTAGTCCACATAATCATATAAGTGTATCCGCTTGCTAGACTTGCTACATATCTCTCTCTGGTTAGATGTCTGTCTTTAAATGCAAATGACATAGTATTGCCCTTAGACTTTGTGAGTCACTAGATCAGAGCCAAAAACAGTTCAAATATGAAAAATACATTTTGTTACATTTGCCACTAAAGAAACAATCTTGTTCTAAAAAAGCTGAAGCCTGAATTGTTTCCATAGTAGTTTTCTCCTCCTTTTCAATATTTGCACACCTTTTGTTTACTGGATCAAATTAAAATTTAACGAGAGGGTAGCAGAACTGAACGCAAACAATTTCGTTACGTGCTGCAAGTCCTTCCAAAAAAGCCTTTACAAAGAAATACAGGAAACTCCCTGATTCTCCATTCCTGCACCAGAAGAATTCCTAAAATATATGACCTTGTGATGGTTAAAAGATAGCCAAGAGCCAAAGCTGGGCAGCGTTTTTATCCCAGTTCAGCCATGTCATGGGTCATGTGGTTCAGCATGTGAACAGGAAGGTGAGAATGGGTGAACTTTTGCCTCAGTTGTGCAGTCCATCAGAGAATAAATGGAGCAAATCACTCTGCAGCTGTATCTGGAGGTGAATGGCTGAATACCTCTCACACAGAGGCCTTTGTGTTCTGGACATGATCTAGCATTATGATGGGACGCACTAGGCTGAGGCTTTGTAGCAATTACTAAGCCATTATCACGCTAGAACATGAGATCATTTATCTTCTAATTCAGAGTGTCACCTGTTCTTCATTTGCCAGTCAATAACCATTAATTACTTTCAGTGGAAATTTAAACAAAGCTTTTCCCCTCTGTTAAAACCAGTAAGCCATTCAGTAATGACAAATAAACCCAGAGCTGTATCTCCCCCTTTCCTCTTATTCTCAGCCCAGAGTCTGGTACAATATGAACTCTTAAAGGAAATGCCTAGAAATTGATAGGTCAAGGGCCTTTATTAGTCTGATGTGGTAGGAAGCACATCGCTGGCACTTGCTGTAAGGGAAAGGACATAGCTTCTTTTTGGACACAGATTTCTCATTGGTTGTCACAGGCTGTACCTGTGGAAAAGATTTGAGTGTGGAGCTTGTCTGAAGATTTTCCTATATTCTGACTTGCGTTTGTGTTTATTAGTGGACTGTTCATGCAGTTCCATTCAAAGAAAAAGCATTTGGTTGCCCTTCTCAAAGCAAAACAGAACTATTGCTTCCTTTGTATGTAATTTTTAGACTTTTAGTTGGTTGGGTTTTTTTCATACCTGATATGATTGAGGTAAATGCCAACAATTGTGAATGCCAAAAAAAAAAAAATAATAAATATCACCAGTGATAAATTCTCAAGTAATCATTAATCTAAACATTCTTTTCTTGTAAGAGTTGAGGCAAAAAAATTGCTCTGAGCAACTCTATCTGCATCTTTTGATTGTTGCTAAGTTGAACCTGTAGAAATTTACTGCTGTTTAGGTTGTATTTCTAAGACAGTGATCGCTTGCTCTTTGAAATGTTAGACAAGAGTTGATACATCCAAATGCATAAAACTTGGTGGGACCAATTCTCAAAGGATAGGTTTTTGTTAGGATTTTGTAGCTGTCTTCTTCAATTTAGTGCACATTTTAGAGTTAAAAAAAAAAAATAATCTTCCAATGCTATTTTATATTAATACACAAAATGAATGTGTAACTATTTTCAGTACTTACTGGATTATTGAATGTCTCTTCTTAAGCACCCACATGAAATTATATCCAATGAATTGCAATACTGAAGTACTTAAAAGTGGAGGGATGACAAAAAATTTCCATAAGTCTGATCCTTGTTCTTAGACATATTAATATTAATTTATAAGTATTACAAAATACAATTAATATTGATTTACAAAAGTGCATAGTAAATATCAGGTTCTTGTGCTAATATTACACATTTGGTTAACCAACATGGCTTTTGGGGGGTGGGGACTTATTTTTGCAAATAAATGAGGTTTGTTTATTACAGCTCTGTCACATGTGACTGACACTACAGTGTTGAGTATGTTTCAAACACAGAAAGGCAAGACCTTGAATTCAAAATGTACAGCAAACATACACTAAAATGAGGAGAACTGTTGTAAATTCTGAGTCTGACTGACTGACTGTCTAATCTAGGAAATCCTTATTCACTCAAATAGTGCCTTCTCATATGAGGAAGCTGATTGTTTTCAGCTGGGCTGTTCAATGAAAGCTGAAGATCAATGAAATCAGGGACTAGGCTAAGAGAACCCGAACTGTCAATTCTTATTTTAGATACTCCTTGTATCTTTCTGTGAAGCTGCTGCTACTGTGAATCCCAAAAGCTTGTCCAGATATGAAGAAACAGGAGTTGGTGATTTACAGTGACCTCTCAAATCAGCAGGGAAACCCCGATGTTCCAAGAAAGCTCATATGGGGGATACAAGTTAAGACATCTCCTCCCCACAAGAGGAGTTTCATCAGCCAGCCGGGTATTTCTGCGTCACTGGCTAGGAAGTTCAGCCCTGGAAAGGAAAAATAAAGTTTCTGCCATTGTCCTGCCCAGCAGGTCATATCCCAAAAGCACAATTAATGTCAAGGACTTACACAGCAGTTGCCCAAAACCCAGCCTTCCATGCACGTTCAAGAAGCAAAAAGGTTCAAAAGGAACATGTTAATAAAATCTTGTCAAAACTTTGGAAGATGCATAAAATAATAACTGGGAAGAAAAATTACTTGGAAATAGAACCATTTAAGTGGAATGTATCGCCTTGCTATGCTGGACACTGATTTATTGAGAATAAGGGGAGGGGGGGAATTGAATATTTCAGGTGGTATTTACCAAGAGAAACTGAGCTGTCCCAAAGCTTTTATTAATCTGATTTGCAGAGTATCCACTACCATCAAGGGACCTACTAAAGTTGTTTTCTTTAAAGCTGATGTGAAGAGGTCAATGCAAATAGCATTGTGGATTACACTGTGAGAAGATGACAGTCCTTTTACCATATGGAGAGAAAGCTGAATTATTTTGTTTTCCTTTTCTGGTTATTTATTAAATGGGGATCATGCTATACAGGTATTCCCTTTTACTCTCCAAAGGAAATGAAGTGTTTACATCATTTTGATTGATCTAAAGTAATAATTATTCTGTCTGCCTACAGCTTCTAGACAGTCAAGTAGTCTAGTCACCAGAGCAGTGACTAGCACATCAGAAAACTGAAATGTACCTGCCGTGATATCTTAGACAAGTCACATGAGTCTGCTTGCCTCATTTCCCATCTGCTTTCCTGCTTTCATTCTGACTTAGCTGGTCAGCCCTCCAAGATAGAGCTCATCTGTCATTACTTGTTTGTGGGAGGGGGCTTTGTGAAAGACATTGCTGTGGGAAGTAAACCTCCCCTGACATGCAAATATGTCGACAATCACATGAAGTTTTGCTTCAAATCCTATCGTAATTTTTGCTGCTGCACAAACAGTTCTCTGAAAGAGATGTGAATGATTGTCTCGCTGTTCTACCAGTGTTCACTGGGTCGCCAAGTCAAAAAATAAAAAGTTTCTGCTACTGTGCTTTAATATGTAACATTCAGCACATATTCAGGAGAAAAACCAAACTGACTTGGTGAAATAAAATGTTGACTATTCTTCATTACCTTTTTAATGACTTCCTCTTCGTTAAAATCTGAACTCAGCTAAAGCAAATGTAACAGAACCAAAAGGACCCATATTTTCATTAATTGATGCGTTTGACATCATTCTATAACAAACAGCACAACTGGGCTGAAACATCACAAAATGTTGTTCTTTTCTCCATATCTGTGTCAATTCAGTGCTTTAAGCAAGTGAATCCAGGGTTTTGAGCACTAAACCAAGTCTCAGTGTTCAAAAGTAAACATATTAAAATCTCCCGCGCAGAAACCCCTGCTGTGAAACAAATTGGAAATCAAATACGGCATTGTTTTCTATAATAAGGAATAATTTAACTCTTTTCAGAGTTGCACTGAACTGATTAATATCCACCATGTTAGGAAAGTGTTCATTTCCCCTGCTTGGGGTATATGTGCGTATGTGTAGTTACTTCCAAACCGAAAATGTTGTAGTCTAATATCACGTACCAAAGAGACCTCTTACAAGTGCAATGAATCTGGCTTTGTTTTTCTTTCTGCAGGCCATGTGGCTGATGTTGCAAACAGATGAGCCCGAGGACTTTGTCATAGCCACTGGGGAGGTCCATAGTGTCCGTGAATTTGTGGAGAAGTCATTTAAACACATCGGGAAAACCATTGTGTAAGTATGAACATGCAATATCAGCCACAGGTTGAACATTTCTAGCCTGTTCAGTTTGCTGTGTTACAGAGTATTGTTTCTCTACACTTTTCTTTTTTACTCCTCACTTTCTAATTTTGTAGTATGGTAGACCTTCTGAGTATAAATGACTGCCTCACAGTGGATACCACTAGTGTTGCCCTCAAGATCAATAAGAAGAAAAAAAAAGAAAAAAAAGGAAAAAAAAAGGAAGAAAAAAAAAGAGGCACGTTTGTCTTAATTTTTATTGCAAGTCTTGGTTCTCTGTTCTCCTGTTCACCCCCCACCTTGGGGGACAGATGCCCATCCAAAGAGGTTAGTTCCACGGTGCGGTTCATCACTGCTGCAAAAGGGGCTTTTCTGTCAAATTCTCAGCTTTGTGCCCCACATCTGCACAGTTCTGCTCTCATCCTCTGCCATCTCAAGAGGTGACACCTGCCAACCCTGTTATTTCTCCATGACAGCCCATCAGCCACACCACAGGGATTATGTAGCAACCGACTCTACATTCCTATTAGCTCTTCTCCTACTAAGCCATAAAAATGTTGAGTGGTGGGTGCAGAATGTTTACAATGCATATTCCGCATAGTTTGATTGAAAATACAAAATTCCTTCTCAAGGCTGTATAATAAAATCAGGATGGCTTGGTGAGCGCCTTCTGTAATTTATATTTTTATTGTTTATTATTTTTTCAATTTCCCTCCTTCTGTATCTTCTCTGGGCCCCATGCATCAACATACCGATCTCAGCTGGAAAAGGGAGAGGAAAGCCACAGGCTCTTCCATGACGCTAGCGCCAGCGCTGCTCCTCAGGCCATCAAAGTCACTTGTGCAGCTGGTGAACTTTTGACAGGGCCAATAAGTTTTACTTGGGAACAAAAACTTGACAAATTCAATAAATATGCAGAAGTGCACAGATATATACAATACTATTTGAACAGCCAGTGGGTGGCTGGGGAGGTAATAACATTTTCCCCTCAATGAGTTTTTAGTCTGGTTTCAATTTTTGGCATCAGCTTCCAGAAAAAATTCTGATGGGGGAGAGAGGGACTGTATAAATAGGATTTCTAGCCCCAAAGCTCTCAGATTTGGGAATAAATTTTTCTCCATAATTTTAGCATTTCTTGATAAGAAATCGAGATGTTCCTGGATGATCATAGATTGTCGTGTATGCCTTAACAGCAGTGAGGTTTGACAAGGTAAAGTGGAGTTAGAAGAAGCTCTGGTAATTGCTGTGTCTTCCTTTTCTTTTTCTCCTTTTTCTATACTTTCCTTTCTTGTGTTTATAAGTTAATTGTCCCTAGTAAGCATTGATACAAACATGCTGTGGATTCAGATGCTCCATCTAAGTAAGCATTCCCGAGATTTTGAGAACAATTTCATCCATATATAGTGTTTTCAAAAGCAGGAATAAATATTTGTTGAACAATTTTTTAATATTTTTTTTTTTAATTCTGACTCCCTAAAATTAGAAACTGAAACATATAGATCGATACCTAGCTGAATGTCTCTCTTTACAGATGTTCTCAATATCACCATTTCTTTTGATGTCAGTAAGTTCATCCATTAGTTTAAAATTAAATTGCCTGCTTTGTTATTGGCCTAAGAAGTCTCAGCATTTTGCAGCACTGACAAATCAGCATGTATTTTTCACATAGCTAATTAAACCCTAGAGAAAAACCTAAAGAAAAAAACAATTACAGAAATAAAAATGAAAGTTCTTTTATTAATAGCTTCTGTTATGGAGAGGATATTAAAGGCTTATTTTAGATTTAGTTGGTCCTAACACACAAGATTTTGTGTCCCGTTTGTTTAATTTTTGCTTACATGTGGCTCCATACCGTGGACTGCATATAATTCATGTTGGTGATTACTGCCACCAGTGTTTGGATTGAATCAATCAGTTGTGAGTTTCTCTCTTAGGAAAACTCTACAGCATGACAATGAGGTAGGGCAGGTATTTGGTTCATACTAAGGCATAGTTGCATTTTTTTTTTACTAATCAATATAAGAAATTTTCAAATATTTTATAAGAAACCACTTGACCTCTAGAAACATGGATTTTTAGGAATCTAAATTGCTTTAGAAATGAGGCTTGGGCTGCTAATTCTCATGGCTCTTTTGACATTTCTCTTCACTGAGTAATTCATTAATTCCTTAAGCCATTTACAGGTGATATATATATAGCTATATATACAGGGACTAAGGTAACATTTTAGGTGATAATGATAATTTTGTTGCTGATCATTTTGACAGTGGTGTAATTCTGATCATTTTAGATAGCCTTTAGCTAAATAAACCAGCCATCCCTTCCCTCTGATCCTAGGGTAGGGGTAGTGTGACAACAGACCTCACTACTCATCCCATTGCCTTTGTTCATCTTTCACATGGCATTCATGTGAAATATTTATAAAGATTTGGAAAGTTTGTTTGAGAACCTTCATAATTTTTCTAGACGTCAGCCTGGCCCACACCATTTTTCTAGGTGTCAGCCTTTTGCAGCACCCACATGCTCTGTCTTTACCCTCACTGGCTTCACAGCTGGACAGCTGCTAACCTCTCACATTCTTGAAACCCCCAAGGGATTTCTACTCCCACCTCCTCCAGTTTGAACACATCTTCTTCAGGGAGTAACCTGGCAGTCAAATCCTCCCTTTTAACATTGTGAGACCCCACTGGTGACTCCCATTGATCTGTTTCTTTACAGTTTATGAGGCACCTAAGAACCAGTGCACTAGAGTGCAGTTGCTAAATGAGTTCCTGTGAGAATGGCTGCTTTCTTCCTATATCCTTTCCTAAAAGTTTGGTTAAGTTGGTTGGTTGGTTGGTTGGGCTTGGGGTTTTTTTGTGCAAGGTTGCAGGTATTATGAAATTTTGCAATCTCAAAAACTTATCTGGGAAAGTGCCAGCAGCCCTTTTCACTGCTGGAAGTGATGACACAACTTTTTAGTGTTGCTTTACAATGTGCCTTTCAAAATTGATGGAATGATGGAGTAAATGGCCAGGAGGGATGTCGTGGCAAGCAGCAGTTGGCAGAGCTCATAGTGCATCTGAGAACACAGGGCATGTGTGCAGAGGCTCTCAACAATCCCTAGTTTGTGCTTTGGCACAAAAAGTTGCAAATGTAACATAGTCTTAGCCATCACATCTTGATATTGCAGTAGAGAACAGAAAGAAGAGCAATCCTGGCTGCCCCACCAACCAACAAAAAATGTTATGTTTTGTGGGGTTTTTTACGTTTTTGTCTTCCTAACAATTCACATGAACTCAGCTGAAAATCCAAGACAGCCTAAAAAGTCTTTCCAAAAAGATAACATAACTCTGTCATAGCCAGTCATTAGCACTTGTCAGGACTCTGTCTTCTAGCCAAAATAAGAGAGAAAGAAACTTTACTGCATTTTTGTAACTAATGAAATGTACAGCTGCAATAAGACTGATTATCTCTCTGAAATTGACTGTAAATTGTACACAGAGGTTTATCTACCTTGTGTGTTTTTTTCTTCTAACATTTACTTTTCAAGGGAGAAATTTAAAATTATGAAGTCCTGTGAATCATTCAAATTCGGTCCTTTGTACTAACAGGAAAGCCTCAGAGCTACAAATATTTTCCCCCTGTAAGGATTACACTTTTTTTCTTTTACTTTCCCTTCTACTTATTACTAATTAAGTGGTACTTGGGGGAAACACTTCCCGCCTATGGTTTGAACTACAGCAGGGTAAACGAAACAGGCAAACGCTTGTCTTGACTAATTTTCTGTCATTAATCTTATTAAATTAGAACAGGATTGCAAAGATAGCCTGAAACCACTACAGCACTCTGTTCTTTGCAGAGTGCTAGAAAGACTGCTGTCTGCAAATGTGGAAAGAAAAAATAAATTTAAAAAAAAGGAAAAAAACCCACCCCACAACTATTCAAGCAGTGAAAAGATTTATTGTGGGTTTTATTAATACAAAAATACATGCAGATTTGCTACAGAAATATTCGTTGCTTCCAGGATTAGAATTAATTCAGTAAAAATTAGTATTTTACTCTAGTCATTTGGCTTAACAGACAAATTTTATCTTAATTAACATGCCATTTGGTCTTATAAAAGGTCACCCTTAAAAAGGAAAGTTTTCAGATAAGCTATAGGGTCTAATGAGGTGAAGTACTAGCAGAAGTGGAGCAGTGGCCTCTTCAGTGACAGTGAAGGTTGAACTGAGATTGAGCTGAGGGAGGAGGGGTTTTGTGGGGGTTTTTTTGTTGTCTTTTTTTCTTTCTTTCTTTCTTTTTACCTTCAAGTGGAAGGTTGGGTTACAGAAACCCGGGAGATTTCAAGGATTTCTCTAAGAATGGAAAGCCAACTATATGTTAGTATTGCTGCTGCGGGGACATGGAGAAGGAGCCATCAAAAGTCATCATCAAAACAGCTGCTGTTTCCAGGTCTGGCTCTTGCCCATCAGAAACTGCTGGCTGGCTAGTGCTATGTGTTGCGTGTAGGAGCTCAGGAAAACCAGAGGCTTTCAGATGAGAAGGAAGGGAACAAACAGTCTCGTACAGAAATTGAAGGTATTTTGAAGAGCGACAGTTGAAAAGAACCCAGCCAGATCAGTAAAGAATGCTGGCCTGGGAGAGCACACATGAGCAAGGGTCCTCGCATAGGACTGCACCACTTTTATCACCATTCTCACTGTAGAGTATAAGTTTTAGAGGGGCATTTAGTCCACCTCAGCTAGAGAATTAACTCTTCCAGCTGAGCAAGCTTTTATTACTTCCTTACTTATGCGGAGGTTTATCTGTAGGCAAACCTAATAACTATTTCAGAACTCAAATTAAGGTTTGAAGACTGTAACAATTTAATTATCTGATTTCATGCATTGTAAGAGATATAGGAGTTTCTGCTATAGAAAAATGGGGTGAGAATTAAATGTGCTGTTTCATGGGAAATTCCCTGCTTTTTCCTTCCAAATGAAATTAAAGTTATTCTCACAAATGCAATTTGGAAAAACATCTGATTTCAGGTCAGCTGGACTCATTTGCTTCTCTTCCAACTTCCTTGTAAAGAAAGAATAACTTAAAAATAATTCTTAAAGCCACTCTCAAAGAAAAAGAAAAAAAAAAAATCCCATTCGGAAAATGTCAAAGCATTTTTTTTAGATGCTATTAATATCATTTTGTTTCAGATTGACAGTAATAGAACTGACTTGAAACTAAAGCTTTTCTTTCCAGAATACTTTTATTTTCACAGAAGCATTAATATCTCTTGAGAAAACATTTTCTTCTCAACACCAGCTTTCACAATTTGGAGTAAAGGGATAAGAGCTTCAAGAAAAAAGGAAGAAAAAAAAAAAACCAAACACAAAAATAGGGACCTCAGCATGTATTCTTTTTTTTAATTTCGAAATATGGGGGTCACAATTTAGATTTTTTAAATGTGAACTTGACGATACCGGGAGTATAATAACAACATTAGCATTGTTTTGACTGTGTGCCTTTACTGAACAAACACTGAAGATCTGATTCAGAGAGCATTTGAAAAAAAAAAAATAAATTAAGTGCATCCCTCTATGGTAACATACTTGTTCTTTAGATTTAAGCACAAGATCATGGTTAAGCAATCCCAATAGCCTTGATTGCTTTGAAACATCAGAGCTGTTGGTGGTTGAGTTGGTGGCAAAGGAACATATGAAGAGTCAGCTTTTATGTTTCCCTACAAAAGATTACTTGCAAAGGACATTAACAGTCTGTTATATGGTTTCAGTTTTGCTGGTTTTAAAGTGCCAGGATGGAATGAAGTACTTCAGCTTAATTGTGTGTGTAGCAGCAAGTAAGCCACAAATCCAAGAAGTCTACACAAATGGTATGTCATATTAGCTGCGGAAGAAGAGCAAAAATTTCATATTGCTATATATTTTATTTAAAAGGTGCATGTGATAGTTTGAATTTCTATCATGAAGCTGAGCAGCTCTAGCTACTAGTGGTTTTAAATATCTTTTAAATGCTATCATTTCTGTTTCCATGTAAAGGTCAAGCAAGGAGACTAAATGCACTGGTTCGGTTTATCCGTGCTTTTGTGAAAGGTTTCATTTTTAATTGATTTCTTCGCCACGTCAAAAATATATGTACTTTGCTTTGTTTGCTTCTCAGCTACAGCCATTTGGACCATTTGGTCCCTTGCAGTGCTAGTCCCACCCTCCCTTGATTATCCTGACTCCCCTGTGTCCTTCCCTGCCCATCTAACACCCAACTGAGTGAGCCCTCCCAGCTCTTTGTCCTCAGAAAATCCTCTATATCTATGGACACTTTCAGAGCTTAAAGTTTGCTGTCTTACTAAATATTTATAGGAAATGGAAAATGCTTGGAATCTCCAGAGACAAAGAGAAGAAGGAATGTTCATCACCAATGATAATAAGTATTATAATAGTAGTTATCAGAAGATATGGAATTAGCCTTAAATTAAACAGTGCATTCCACTGTAAATCCAGAATGTGCAAGCTCTTGAGGTGAAGAACCTTTTAAACACATAAACTTACATGTGCATTTGAAACATAATGAACTGAGTTTTGTGGAAACTCCTGACATCAGTGATAGTAGTGGTATCCACCGGAGCTGACAATTAGTGCCTTCCTACACAATCCTAAAAGCACCTGTCAGCAGCAGTGAGGCAATCAGCAAGGCTGCAGAGGGCATCAAACCTGCTTTGGCAGTAGCAGGCACACGGTCTCATGCATCCTTCTTGGGGTGCAGAGCATTTTGTCGTATGACTGATGCTGTCAGCTGTGGGAGCAAACCCATCCATCTCTTCAGTGAGAGGGTAAAGCTCCCCAGTGTGGGGCGGGCAATGGTCTTGCTGTAGAGGCTCATTGCCTGAGGGCTTCAGGATGTCAAGCCAGCAGGCATCTGCCTGGAAGCCCTGGGCTTTGACACCAGCCGGGGATCAGGAGGAACCACTCCTCATCCCTTGCAAAATCAGCCCAGCTCTGATGAGGCAAAATTTCTTTAGCCAGGGATCCTTTGCATTTCCCACAAGTGACACAAAGCTTTTTGTTTTCTTGCCTACTTGGGCATCTGCCCTAAGGAGCAGAAATCTGGGTAGTCTTTGTGGCTGGAGTTACCTAAAACCATAGCAACATGAGGGTTCCCCATGCCTTCTTCCAACATACTCATGTCTCAGAATAATCTGGCACTACATTTTCCAGATCTGACTGCAAGTTGACTATAGATTAAGGAAGGTTTTGGTGGGTTTGTTGTTTGCTGTTTTTTTCCTTTTCTTGTTGTTAAAAGAAGAGGTGGGAAGGAGCTGGTTAGTCAAATGGATGTCTTGCTCCTGGTGTCAGGTTGGCCCCCATGCAATCCCTTTTATCAGCAGTATGGTGTCTCCAGCTGTGAGTGCTGAGGTGCCAGCAGTAATTAAAAGTGCAGCTATCAAATACTACTTTGTTCACAATGAAAAGTACTTTTTTTCTTTTTTCTTTTTTCCTTGTGAACTTTTCACATTACTGGGCTGAACAAAACGGGTGGAGATTTCTTCTTAAGCAATTTCTATTGTTATATAACTTTGATAGCAACATTAAGTGAGTCTTTACTGGCTCGGCCAAGCCTTCTGGAGCCTGTTGGGTGTTAAATGGGGTTCTCTGCTCAGTGACCTCCAACAACAACTGACGTCTTCTGATCCGAGCACTTCCTGTTGTTTTACTGGTGACGGTTAGTTTTCTATTAAGCTCATTTGAGTCCTGCACATTTTTACCCTCTGCCCTTTAAAGGGAGGGACTAATGTTAGTTTTGGCTTCTGAATGAAAACTTTGCAGTTCAGGCTTCAAACAGAGCAACTGCAAAAAAGAAAGAAAATTTAAATTATAAATCATCTTTAGCATCATGGCATGACTATTAACAGCTGACTTCGCTGCGGCTATTATCTCTTGGAAATTATTTCAATGTGAAGTGTTCCCAGTATCAAGCATCCTACAGGGTTTGCTAGTCATCCAGAAGTCATGAGGTGGGCTTAAAAAATTGTGAGATTTAAAAACTAGTAATAAATGCATGTTTGGTATTTCCTTCTGCCTTTTGGTGTTTTAAGAGGTCATATTTTCAGACTTTTCTCCTTAGCCCCCAGGGCTAGAAACTCAAAAATTAAGACTGAGATTGTCAAATAATTAAATTCTTGTAGGAGCTTCAGAGAGGTATGGGAGCAAAGAGAAATCAAATCTGTGACAAATCCCAAAATCTGGCAGTACAATTAGTAAGTGGGAAGCAAAGGGCACTGTTCCTTTCGTTGCTGGTGACTGAGGCTAAATGGTCACAGTGCTGATTTAAATTACATAGATTTTACTTAAACACACAAAATAAGGGATTTAATCAGTACACTCTCGTGCCAAGCTTGTTCAGAGCCCCAGGAGGTACACTCCTGGGGCAAAAAACAAGGAGAGAAAAGAGTTTTGATCATAACTCTGGATTTTGTACATTCAGAAGATTAGGTTTGATGCACCAAGCTACGTTCCTAATATTTCATCTGAAGCATTTGTTTCAAGAGGGGGCATTTTCCTCATGCTTCCAGGCTGAAGGCTGGCCTTTCCAAAGGTAGAGCTAGTCAACCACCAAACCTTTCCTCTTCTGCTGCTATCAAAATTTTAGACCAGGACAGTTACTAACCGAAGAGTTCATTGTGCAACCAGATCACATAAATTACAGTAAATTGCAGGCTGTTCAACACATATGAAACTAATTTGGACAATGTAGCTGGCTTCCAGCTCACAGGTAGTAAGTGCTGTTTACAATGCATGTATGTGAAGTGCCATTTTGAGCTAGCACTGAAATGTCCAGAACTGTTTTTGGTTGGTTTTCCTAGTTAAGCACAAATTAAATTATGCAGCTTACTGCTATTCAAACAGAGCTTCACATCCATAAATTTAACAGATTAAAGAGTTCCTGAAAGTATTGGCCAAAATACAAGAATTAAAAATATTTTAAGAAAACAGCTTTGAACCAATCCACAAATGAAAAACCTCACTGTCATATTTATTTGCAGATACATGAGATGTTCTGAAATCAGGACATTTTATTTGCTCCTAACATTATGTGTTTCATTTGGAAGTCCTGTATTTTAGACCTTCCAATGAATCAAAAACCAAAACAAAGAGACTTCAAAAGCCAGTGTTGCCCCATTCAAGTCTAAACTCTGCCTTTGTTCCTATAGCTAATGAGTTTATACTGTCCTGCAGGGAGAATTGACACCAGCCTCAAGTAAATGAAAGCAAGCCAAATGTTGGCAAGATCAGAGCACTAAAGTAATTATGGATTGATTAAATGTTTATCTTCTTTACAGGTGGGAAGGGAAGAATGAAAATGAAGTAGGACGATGCAAGGAGACTGGCAAGATTCATGTGACAGTCAATCACAAGTACTACAGGCCAACTGAAGTGGTAAAGAAAATGCCCTCTCCTAGCTTTGCAAATGAATAATCTAATCACTGAGCCAATAAATTGCTGCATTTGGCCAGCAGTCTGTGAAAACCACTTAATTGCACTCCTGCTGCCAGCTTTTAGAGCTCTAAATTAGCCTGTGTGTTGGCCCCTTCACAGCCAGCTACCTGGGAAGTGGAGGGCAGGCAGCACTGCCCCGGAGCAGCAGGTTTGCCTGGTCACTGAGATGCTGCCCTGCTTCTGTCACCCTCTCTGAATGGGAGGGGGGATGCCTAGGAGGGGGGTGAAACATCACCTTATGGGAAACAAAAACAAAGCACAGAAAAACTTGTTGTTCCTTCCGGTCTCAAATGGATATGTGGTCATCTCTCCAGCTGCAAGAAGGGAGAGCAGAGGGAAGTGGGCACTAATAGGCTTGATTTTGAAAGTACCTCCTTTTGTGTCCTCATGACAATGTCTCAACTCCATACAGTGAATATCCCCTGTTCAGCTTGGATCTTTGTAACTGTGGGTATCACAAAATGTCAATTTTAGAAATGCATGTGTGCTTTGTTTTCTCGGGTGATTTGCAGGGTCCTACTCAGTAAATTCTCATTTGCAGAACATGTCTTCATTCCCAGGAATTTCTCAGTGAAGTCTGCTGGGGGTGCCCAACCAGGAGCAAGCCACAAACCCCTGTGCTCAAATCGTCTAATGAGTGTATTAGGAGAGGGAAAAAAACAACAAAATTTCCAAGTCAAGCAGGATGGTGGCAGCACACAGAGATGGTACAAGACAGAGCATAGTTTCTGGACACAGGGAACAATAGGCCCAGTTTTGTGCAGTGGGAGTGGGTGTGCCCAGGAGAGGATGTTCTGATCTCCTGGAGAGGGTGATACCAGCCCCACTGGCTGCTGACACAGCATCAGCTGTCAGTCCCTCTCTTCAGAAGTGCTGGTTTCAGCTGCCTGATTCAAGCAAAGTGTGACAAGAACACATTTGTCTGAATATGGATTGCAGGACAGGAGTGGGGAGATGTGTGTGTGGAAGTGGACATGGATGGGTTCTAAAGTGGAAATTTAGAGAGGAGTAGAGACTTTTGTGTTATACAAAAAAGATCTGGACCTGTGTATCAGAATCAAACGCTAGGAAGTCATTAGGAGCTGTCCGTCATTCTGTGCTTTGGTAAGGTGTCAGGATGATAAGGAGGACACAGAGACAAAAGGACTTGCCAAACAGGAAGAGGACACTTGACCCAACAAGTCTGCTCTTTGTGAGACCCACTTCCCTGCTTTGTCATACCTCTTACTAACCAGTACAAATTCACTTCTCAAAAATCACGCGTAGTACGTAGCTATTCTGAAGCCCTTGCTGTAGTTCCACCTTATTCATATGGTTAGACATTTTCTGTTGAAATAGTTGTGTGCATAGTCTCCTCTGTTAGACCTCATTGGTCTCCTTTGGGAACACAATTTCTGGATTTTAAATTCAGCTTACCATACACTTGCACATTTTGGGTCAATGCATAGGTGCAAGTCCCTCAGGAATGCTCATGCAATTGCTGCTGGGTCCATGTATGAGTACTGGGGTTTATCTAAATCCAAAGTGGAATGTACCCTTCAAATAGCCAGGAGAGAGCTGATGTTTATCTGAAATTATCTGACCTGTTGTAGGCCACCTTCTGTTATGTTTCATCTCTCTCTTCCACTGCTCTCCTTTTGCTATGTATTTAACACAGTCTCTACATAGTTCCCATGGAACCCAAGAATGCTGTGAAGCTGCTTCGGCACCATCAGGGTAGAAGCACAAAATGGGTTTTGAACTACCTTTGTCTTAAGGGCTATGCAGATGAACTGTAAGCCAGCTCCTCTATGAAAAGATAGGGCAGAAACTATTGCATGTTGTCATGAACTTGTTGAAGTATAGAGAAGTGGTGTTATTTTTTCAGCCTATGAAAGGGCAAAGGTTGGTGTATCTTTTTGTGGTTTAGTTCCAAGCCTGTTTAACCTGTCCTGATTTACAGTGGTTTATTTAACTTTTAAGTAAGTGGACTGTACACACTGTCATACCCACGTATTCATAAACAGACACATGTGTCCGTGTAGGTTAGGCAAGGGTACTGGAATGTGGCATGAGAGACAAGGGAGACCAGTTAAAAATCCTCACTGTGTCATCTGGGTTTTTCTTGACCGTCAAAAAAGCAGGTTTCATACAGTTATTTATATTTTTGGGCTCACCACATTTCTTGTATAGTGATGTCAACCACATAACTTCTGAATGAGGATTTTTTGGGGGACGCTTCTTCCATGGAAAGCAGTGAAGACACTCAATCTGATTGTAATTTGCATTTTCCTTACCTGATGCACAAAAGCAGATCTAGCCTAAATCCTCAAGTATGCAGAACCTCTCAAAGCTGACAAGATACAGAGCTGAATAGCTTTAGATCTGTTTCATCCACATAGAGAAGCAGGGCAGGGGTATTCCAGGCCTTTCAGGTGTCATTTTGGGTGCCATGATTCTTGGCAATCAGCTTGGCATCCACTTCCTACATTCAAAATTTTCTTTTCAGAGCACCTCAGGATGTATATCCAGAATAACTTTCACTTTATTTATTTGGGTTCCTTGTCAAAGGTGGGTGAACTTCAGCCCATTTCAGTCACAGCATCACATCTGTGCAGTTCCAAAACACCAGTCCAAAATCCAAGCCATAATGTGAAAGCAAGGAAAGCAGTGAGAGAACAGAAAATAACTGATGTTACATGTCCCCTCCCATGATCCTCACCAAGACTGCTGAAGGCAAGAAACCCTCAGGTTGGCATTTTGGAAAGAGGCTTAGCCAGATCAGTAAGCAGGAATTCTGCTGTTGAATCCCAGCTGACAGAGAAAACCTGATGCTCAGATTCTCATGTCTCACTTGGAAACATTTCTGCTTCTCTCTTAAATTGAACATGGTATTCTGGAAAGTGAAGATAAATATAATTTAATCTTGTGTACAGTCAGTTCTGACAGTGCCAATATATTCATTTGAAAACACATTTGTTTTCTTCAGTTAGTGATCCCTGGGGTCAAGGCCTCCCATTGAAAAGCTTAGCTGTACTGAAGAAGAAACCTTGAAATGTGAGACTGTCTTCTGATCAAACTAAGCACACCCTTTGAATGCCTTGACTCTAAATCTCTTCAGTATGTTTTTGACTGCTTTGGGGCCCCCTGATATTTACTGGCCT